CAGCACAAAGTAAGATATCAACTTCTAACAAAATACAACTTTAAATTTAATTTCAAAATTACCTAACATTATTTGTATATTTATACAAAATTGTTCTCCCTGCGGTTTATATTTTGCACTACTATGAGATTGCACACGACTGCACACTGTTACCCTGTTTTATGCTTTTTTTGGTCAAGAATGTGATTGTCCTGTGACATACTGTGCATTCTGGCCAACAGCAACAATGAAATAACTTGTCTCAATTAAGAACAATCATACAAATACACTGAAATTACCAAAGAATGCTTCATAATCAGACACTTTTTGCATAGGGAAACTGATTTTGGTCTCAAAAATAAAAATCTGTATACAAAAGGTTGGATGGCAAAATCAATCACTTTAATGTAACTAATTTTTTTCCCTAGCTTAAAGCTATTCGATTGGAGTAATATTGCATCTAGATAATTTTATTAATGTTGTTAACTTTAAATTATAATCTTTGGTAAACCAAAACACAGAGCTGGCACATGTTATCTGCTTTACAACTTTCTTGCCTGTGGGTTGAGAGTTCTCTTTTTCTGTTCTTGACTCCAACAAATTCTAAAAAGTTTGGGGTGAAGGTTGTTACAGTTACATGTATTTATTACAGCTTCCCCCCTTAAGACTTCATAGATTTTGACTAAGAAATCAATGAAAAGTTGTCAAAAGTTAATGCAACAAAGTAGCGTGGATCAGTCTACAAACAGCCGTGAAAAACTCAAAGTTGCATAAACTAATGAGATCACACAATTCTTTTCAAGAGATCAACTCCACGTAGTTTGCGGGAAATAACCCAACACTACCATCAGGTGCTTGCCCTCGCCACCAGCCTTCATCGATCTGTTCAATATTTGTAATGATGTCGTCAGGATCAAAAGTAATCTCTGTGTCATCACCTGTTACAATAACAACACCATTGTAACAACATCAATTTCATCAAAGAACCATCAAGAGCAACAAACATCTAATTTCTGCATACAACAAAAACAATTTATTATAATTGCTAATTATACACTAATTAACAATTAGATTATGAGCTCGAGATTTCTATGAGGTGATAGTTGATGAGGCCGAAGGCTGAATCAACTATCGCCTCATAGAAATAGAGAGCAAATAATCTAATTGTTTCAGTAGAATTCTAACTTAAATTGATGCAAATAATGGTTTCCAAATATTTTTTGACCCATTGTTGAACTTCACGTTTTAACAGAATTGCATTGGTAAATTTGCAGCTGTTTATGCACGCGCACCGGTTTTTCAATAATTTCAAGTTTTTAAAGTCAAGAACCTGTTTATGTCCTTCCTTTTGTCTTCTCAGAAATATAATTATCCATTTACATCTAAACGTTCTTCCAAAACTTTGGGAAAACGATAAAAACCGCATTTCGTGGACCACCGACAGCTACTGCATTCTAATGGCTGATAGTATACGAGTAGCTCAGCCAATCAGATTGCAGCATTTGCATTAGTATACTAGTAGAATTCTACTAATAATTATTATACCTTCATAAACCTTTTTTTATGGACATCTCAGTATGCAGAGTAGTATTACTGTAAATCTTAAAGTCTCTTCCAATATTCTGGTAAATATTGGGGCATGCCACACACAAATGGTGAGAAAACTACATGTAGACAGTTACACTACACACTAAAAAGTGTGGTAACATTTATTGTGCAGTTCCCAAGAAATAATATTCATACCTACCCCATGGGAGGTTTCTAGAAATTCTGTGAACATGGGAAGTCTCAAATGCCAAATTTCTTTAAAGGGAAGTTTAAACCTACATGTACATCTTGGAATGTTGTATATGCACTATGGAAATACTTGAGTTGAATGTCATAAATCTCTCAAGCTGGGAATGAACTGACCACAGAGAGTGAGAGAGAAGGCTCTGTTTAGGTCAGACATAGTTATAATAATTATAGAGTCACACCAAGTTGACATACTTGCTTGGTAGTCATACAATGCTCTTGCTTGTAGACCTCTATCCTCCTATAAGAAAAGCAACAATGCTGTTATATTCACATTTAGCTTATTAGTCATTGTAATCAATGGTTAGTTGAAATGTAATACAAAACACAAGAAAGTAGAAATGTGCTAAAATAATCAGTGTAATAGATCTCTAGATACTTTTCATTTGGGTAAGACAAAAGATCATGAAGAATGTTTTAAGATTAAGGGTATTAACAGAAGGTACAAATTTCCAAGGGGTAGGCGGTTGTCAACAGGCTACATGAAAAGATGCAAATCTTTATGTCCTTTTTGAACCACCTGTTGCATTTAATTTAGCAGACTCACCACCGGGCTACTAAGGAGTAAAGATCAAGAGGAAAATAAGGTAACGAACAAGCAACGTGCCCAAAATACCTCTACAACAGGGGTTGGTTCTGGTTCATGGGCCACTGCACTAGGCCCTTCGATAAGTTCCACATAGTTAGAGGGGAACATGCCAAAGTGTCCATCAGGACCACGCCCTCTCCACCAGCCCTCGTCAAATGGATCGACTTCAGTTATTATGTCTCCGGGATCAAAGGTAATTTCCTCATCATTTTCTGAAATACACTCAAATTAATAAACAATTTTGCATGGAAAAACACTACATGTGCATGCACTTCGAATGACTAGTTACTCTTTATTTTACAATGGAGCTTAACACAAAGATGTTACTTATAAAATGTTACCAACTACTTCTAACACGTACAAATTTGGCATTGTATGTGAAAGGAAGCTGGCAAAAGCTTGCAAACTTGAGAGAGTCATTAAATAGGTTTATCCTTTCAATATGATTTCTATTAGCATCGACATAGATGGTCTGATTTGCTGTAACAAGTAGGTCTGCATCCAAGCCTAGCAGTCCAAGAGGTCATGACACAGCACTCGTCTCTGGTTTCCTTAGCACAAAGTAAGGTGGTCCATTACAAGGTTACCCCAGCATTACATGTACATTTGCTGGTACCCATTTATACACCTGGGTGGAAAGAGTCACTGTGAGAGTAAAGTGTCTTGACCTGTGCCAAGGATGGTGATGATTGATAATTATTGACATATGAGTACCTGCTTGATAATCATACAAGGCCTTTGCAGTTTTTCCTTGATCTCCACTTGGGGCCTGAGGCTGTAGTACCACACCAAGACCAAGATGAAAGCAAAAAGAAAAAAATTAAAATGGTTTCTTTTAAAAGTTACACTAACTGTTGTCTGAGTGATTGTACTGAACTAACAGCATTGTGAAATAGAAAAAGAGAGTCTGAGATAGAGGGAGAAAAATATATCCTAGAACATGAGGTCAGAAAGAAAAGAGAAAGGAAACTAGATGATTAAACCTTCAACTACATGAAAGTCCTAGACTATATCCCACACAAAGATTGGCATTAACAAAAGAGGGATTGATAAATGTGCATTGAACATACAAATCACAACAACCCATTACATTCACAAAAACACCTTGACTACCAAAAATATTTGCTTGTGCAGACCATGGATCTTTCAGGGTTGATTAAGTCTGGGTAAAATTCCAAATTGTGTGTTGTATTCAAATCGAAGACCTACCGATATTTTGAGCACTTGTTTTGCGTGTTTTTGAATTTTTCCTCAGAAGTGGAAGTTGAATAAAACGAGTCAAAATTTAGAAGCAGATCTAATCTTTAGCTCTTCCTCTGAGGAGTGTACATCGAAAGAAACAGCAAGGGACTCCA